AGGGAAAGAAGAGAAGATGATGGTCTTCAGAAAACTAACGCCCGGGTCAGGAAGCAGAAGGCTTCCGTAAACAAAGATAAGAAAGGACAGAAGAATCCGGAAGTTAAGAAAGTTGAAAAAGGAGAAAGACTTAAGAAAATTGGGAAGTTAGCTCTTAAGATAAGACGAGAAGCGAGCTGATGAGTGCAGGCTGAGCACATGCACCGGCTACCTCCATGAATAAAAGCAGAGCCCTTGCTCTGCAACTCCCAGGACGGGAGGGCCCGTCGAAAGCACAGTTCAAGGCAGGCAAAGGGCGCTCACTTCCAGCTCGTCCCCACAACTGCTGTCCCCAGTGCCTCTTGGCTGACCGGGGACCTTGCCAACCACAGCTGGACAGCTCCTGCCTCCCCCAGCCCCCGCATCTCATCAATCAAAACTTACTCACCGCTGTCTCATTCTTTATGAAGGAACCTTGGGCTACACGAGTTCATTAGTTCATTGAATGTATTCTAATTTGTGAATTGGCTTCCATGCATATGGCACCTATTTGAGAAAATCATGCATTGATAGCCACTTCTTGAATGTTTGACAACCACTGAGTCATTTAAAATCTCTGGGCCTCCATTTCCTTATCTTAAAGAGGGTGGGCTTAATTTTGAAAAATGGTGATATTTGAAGTCAGGCTTTGGAGTAAAAATGGAAGGGGAGGGCTCCAAGGTGCCACCTCTAAGACAAGGTAGGAGGGCAGGAAGTGTGTCCGAGGGAAATGAATGTAGCGGCAAAATGGCCTGATAGATGCAAGCTGAGCCTCATTATTGCTGCCTCCTCCAGGGGTAGAGAAGAGCCGTGAGAAACCTCCCAGAGGGGCTTGGACTCCCTATCACGTTTATTAATCATCTTGATGAAAATGGAAAGTCTGCATTGATTAAATTCACTAATGATCCTAGACTGAGCAGGGGAGTAAATTCCAGAAAGGATGGATTTATAAGGTGAGTAGTAATATTAATCAACTCATCTTCATGAAAAGGGTGCCAGTAAATGAAATAAGATTTGCCACAGAAAATGGCAACGAGGCACACCTGGGGGAAACTATAATGAGCCCAGACCCAAAGAAGGAAGCTGTTACTTAGGAAATAATAATGGTAAGCAGAGCTCTAGAGTGGAGAGTGAATAATAAATTTAAAACAAGCTTAAAATAAGCTCTCATTAAGGATCACGATTTCACTCTCGGCACGTCTATGCTGGACTGACAAAGTGCAGACGAAGGGGATGGGAGAGTTGGAGGCAACCTGGGAGTGCGACACTCTCCTTTTACAGGTGAGGAAACCGAGGCCCAGAGAGGTTAGGTGTGACGGACTAGGTCAGGGTGGCAAAAGCCTGGCACAATGCTGAGCCTACAGTGGCGGCAGGAAATCACCATTCCTTCTGACAACCTAAATTTAGCTTCAGAATCCTTCTCAACACTGTGTTCTAGGCAGTCTCTGATCGCTTGGCTCACAAAGTACTCTTTTGCCATCTGTAACTTAGGTCCTAGAGCCAGACACTGGCAGAGCGAGGGGTAAAAGCTAGATCTCCTGATTTGTCTAGTGCTTCTTTCTCACCCAATAAGTTCTAACTCTCTACAGTCAACATTGTCTGTAACATAAAAACTCAAACACTCGGAAAGCATACCTGGCTTCTTAGCCAGGACTCTGACCTCGGTCTCCCACCACGTCAGTGTGAGGTCCCTTGGCAACTGTGTATGCAGTAGTGTTGGTAACACACTTAGAAATGTCAATAGTTTGGGGTTGATGAGTTTTGTGCCCTTGGGGAATAACATAAAATATTTTAAAAAAAGAAATCCACTGAATGCAAATAACAAAAATTAAGCTTTCACCTTAGGCATTTGACAAAATAACTTTGTTAAAAAGTTTCCGAGGCTGATTAATGTTTCTTCTATTTGCTTCCCATTTGGGGAACAGAGTGAATTTTATTTGTGCAAATGAAGCCATGTTGAGGGCGGACAATTTAGTTAGGTTGGGGCTTCAACCTAGGAAGGGGGGCAGGGAGGAGACTGGCCTCAGCGGAATTATGAAGTAGGTGCATTTGGCTTATTCTCAGTTCCTTTTAACCACCTTTCAGTTCCCCCTCCCAAGGAAGGCTCGCGCTGCGCCTCTGAGTCCCCCTGAGTGATGTCAGGGCCGCCTACAAGGCCGCGGTGGGTATGCGCTGCACACTTCTAGGGGGCGTCATTCTCCTTTGGGAACTCGGCAGACTCAGAACAGTTCACTTCTCAGGCCTTTCCTTATCTTTCCCCGTCTAATGGAGATCTGCCTGATGTGTGTCAGACCTGACTCCTGTCCACATGGGCTAATGGGTCACTGCCCAAGAATTTCTTGAAGACCCGCCCCATAGCTTAAGGGAATGAATTAAATAGTAGAACATTTTAGCATGTGCCTGAAAAAAATCTCTTTTTGAGTGAGCTCTACAAATGGTCGTTGAATACATACTCCATAGGATTCATGAGAGATGTTGGTCACATGCTTGGCCAGCCACAATCACAAAGTTGGCTACCAGGATCTCTTAAATAAGTCTTTTATTCCTTCAGCACTCACAGCATGCAGAAACCTGGGACTCCATGCCAGAGTGCCAGGGGCTGGAGTCAGTCAGCCTGGGGATGAGCCCTAANCTTACTTGCCAAGCCAATTAGTCAATTTGGTCATAAACAAAAACAGTTGTAGAACCAACACAGGTGCCAGGCGATGCCCAAACCTGCTGATTCTCTATGTGTGTTAGGCTGAAGCCTCAGGGATGGATTCAGATTTGGGGGGCTCTGAAGATTATTCAATTTTGGAATCTTCTTTAAGAAAAGAAACAAAAGGATGAATTCAAAATTAGGTATGGGAGAATTATAGAGATGGAAAACAGGTTAGTGGCTGGCAGAGGTCAGGGATGGAGGAAGGGAGAGGGGTGTGTCTATAAAAGGCAACAGGAGGGATCCTTGTGGCGACAACGCTGCTCGGTGTCTTGACTGTGGGGCACATACACGAATTACACGCGTGCTAAGATTGCACAGAACTAAACACACACAAATGGCTACATATAAAATTGATGAAATCTGAGTAAGACTGGTGGATTTTCAGTGCCAATTTGCCGATCATAATATTATTGTATAATAAATTTGCAAGATTGGGGGAAACTGGGTGAAATGGACATGGGACCTCTCTTTATTATTTCTTACNCATTCAGTACAATGCTTGGCAAATAACAACCGATACATGTGATCTGCTCCCACTGTTGTTTTATTTCATAATACCCTGTGGGGCAGGCAAGTAGGGTCTTACCTCCTTTATCCTGGGAACCCAAGCAAGTAGAGAGAAATGATTTGTCTGAGGATACATGATGAACATGTGTGTTAAACCTGGGCTTTGTGTGTAAGATTCCAGTGTCCTTCCCACCATCCCTGCTCTTGTAGACCTGGTGCAACACGTAACCACATACCCCCAGGCTGCATGTCGTGGCATACACCCAACACATGCTAGTTAGTTTTTAGCTGTCCCCTCCTCTCACAAAATGTCTATATTCTCTTGCCCCAAATACCCAGATAATAGCAAACACAGAGTGTGAGTTTTCAGTGTTCAAGGTGCAAATCCACACCTCCTGGTTATGGGATTAGGGTTAGGTTAGGGGACATTGGGGGAGACTCGGAGTGTGTCCCTTTATCCAGAACCTCCACCAGGTACTTCACTACCCTTCATGCGTCCCACTAACAGCTTAGATGCTCATCTTACTTGCCAAGCCAATTAGTCAATTTGGTCATAAACAAAAACAGTTGTAGAACCAACAC